CGAACCGAACCGATGAATTATATACATATATTTTATTAATATACATACTTAATATATTGTTTTTATAAACAATTTTAAAGATCTTATACATATTTTCATTAAAATTTCTTTATAATTTACTTATTGAAAGCAAAAATGCCCAAGATGAAACATTTATCTTATTGATTTCATGTATATGAGTGTCTATGACAATTCTTTGTGGGACTGAAAATGTTATTGTCTCTTCCTTCTAGGCCAATATAGTGAATTTTAAAGATTTATTGATAGTAAATTTAGTGATCGAAAGTTCAGTAATTTAAGTCATTTTAACTATTTTTCGTTTAGAATGGATTGTTGTAACCGATCCAAACCAACCCGTGAACACCCCTAAGTAGAACTATTCCCTTCGATCCGTCTCAAAATACTTGTGTTTTTCATTTACACGTCTCTAATTAATTAAGAAATCATTAATTAGGAGGGGTGTTTGACTATTTTTATCGTTATTTATGTCTTAATATGGAGTAGTAATTTTTTTGATGCATGCATGGTCCAAAATCATGCATAAGTTAATTACTTATTATTCTTGGTACATATTTCATTGGCAATTGATGTGTATTAACTTAATTTAAATACGTACGAATAAGAAAATTAAGAATAATGTTGTTAAATAGGGTAATTTACCTAGAAGCATGGTGGCTCTTTCATCAAGAATCTTCATATAATCATGTAGTAGATGAGTAGTTGAATCAAAATTAAGCTCCCCTAAAGCATGGCCATTAATAATTTTGTTAACTTCTACTAAATGTGAATTATGACAACCATTATTAATGCTAATCACACCTCCATCTTCTAATATTGGATCATGGCAACCGTTTGATAAAATTTTCACCTGCATATATCCCTCAGAACTATAGTAATTAATATTGATTCGTTGAAGACATTATATCGACTACGTACAACAACAATAACAATAACAATATATATATATGTATATATCTTTCGAAACGGAATATATATACATATATATAGTATAGTACTATAAGATAATCTAAACGTACATAGTATACGTACCTTGTTTGGATTGAGACCTTCCATTCTTAAACAAGAGATTTTTTTGTACGTATGTTGTATAAATATATATTGAAGAGTAAATATGACTCTAAGGTTGTTGTTTCATATATATATATAGGGGAGCTAGAGCCTAGATGTCATATATTTCTTCCTTTAGACTTAGAAAAAAGAAAAATAATGAAACGTACGTCTATGTTTAATCACGTTTAACATTTTAGTATCCACCTATGAATGATTTTTTATTTTTTTCTTCTTTTGAAAAATGTAATGGTCAATCTTTGAATTCTTAAGCCCAATCTTTGAACTCTTAAGACCATAACATTTTTCAAAAGAAGAAAAAAAAAATCATTCATAGCTGGATACTAAAATGTTAAACGTGATCAAACACAAACGTACGTGTCATTATTTTTCTTTTTTCTAAGTCTATATAGAAGTTACTAAGTACATGTTTTGCCATCAAAAAAATAATTTAACCGTCCAATTTCTAACACTCAAATTTACTCCAAATAAGATCAAATTTAAAATAAAAGTTTCATACATCATAAACATCAACAAACTATATATAAAATCAACATGGGTTGTGGTGCATGCGAGTGCTTCACCCTTAACCAGAGGTCTCGGGTTCGAGCCCTGGAGAAAAATCATGTTGGGAGCGTCACCCCCGAATGGGCACATTTTAGCCATACATGATTGAAAACAAGTTCTTTATTTATTTAATTCTCAAATTTCAAGCATTGCAGCAAATATACTAAAATATCAAATAATATTTCGTTTAGCTACTTATCAATCTCTTGAATTAGATTCTCTTATTATCTTACCTAAGATGAATAATATCTTATGAGAGATTAAATAATTTATAAGAAGATTATTAACTTTACAATAGTTACATATATGAATATAATTTATTTATTTTTTGGGCGGACGGAGGAGGAGGATAGCTTTAGTCCACAAATCTTATCGAGAGACCCTTAATTATGATCAATTTGAGACTAGTTTTTGTATGCTAATCGTATTTACCAAGCTTTAAACCAAGAGGAAATAATAACATTTTATTAGGATATACAAGACACATCATATAAATGTCTTTTTATATTTCTTTGGAATAATATTCCATATGATCCTAATAAAAGCCAAATGAAAATAAATAAATTAAATTGCAGTAGTTGCCATTTGTAATGGTATTCAAGTAGGATTGAAGTTAGAGCAAGTTGCAAGTTCCAATTGAGCCAATAGCATGCCTCGTGTTCTTAAACAAACTCAATTGTATTATGGGTCAAACTAATTTTTCTCCTTTTTTGATCGACATAATTGAATATCTTTTATTTTAGGG